TCCTGTCAAGTTTACACAATGTACCAGTGTCTCACAACTAAGTGACGCCTGATTGTCAACATGGCTGCCATAGCAGCCATGATGAAACTATCATTCTGGCTTGTCACCAGCGGTCTTAACATATACTCATGGAAACTAATAATGGAACACACGAAAGTATGTCAGTGTTCCTTTATTCTTTTCCAGGTTTCTTCACAAGGTATGGATTGCACTGTGGGTGAAATTCTGAAAATAAATAAAGGAACACTTGTACGTTCATATGTTCCCTTATTTGTTTCCATGAGTATATATATCAGTTTGTTATATGATACACAGTAAGTATATATGGAGTGGTTGGCAATATGATTCATGATAAACTAACTTGACTTTTAATCTTTTTCCAAACTCAAACCATTATGTACTCCCATCAATTATGATTGTAAAATACCTCTGGAAAATATTGTGCAATATGATTCATGATAAACTAACTTGACTTTTAATCTTTTTCCAAACTCAAACCATTATGTACTCCCATCAATTATGATTGTAAAATACCTCTGGAAAATATTGTGATTGGAGCTGAAACAAAAGAAAATGACATATATATTCCTCTTATCTTGGGATTTATCTAGGCCTCCTCTGAAATATAAAGTCTGCAGTAGTGTTGGGAATTGGTTAAAATATCATAAATAATGACTGGTTCATTACAACCGATCAATCCTCAAAAATAGTTGGTTAGCATCATTTATCAAATTTTCCTGGTTATGGTTGGTAATGCACAAAACAATAAAGAAATAACATGTAGTTCATTCAGGGTTTTTTCAAATTGCACAAAATGTGTTTGCAAATCTAACATGTTTAAAGGCTGAATAGTATGTTACTTGTTAGGAACATACTTTTCCTGGAGTCTTTATGATAAATTCATTTATGACTTGGAGCGGGCTTGTAGTGCTTATGAAATGTAACAGACTAAACCCAGCTTGTGCAAAATATTGTAAATGCAAACAAGTGTTCCAAAATTGTTTGTGTTCGATGATGAGAAAACATGATCGATTGCTTGGTGGATCAGTCACTGCGACCAATCTTGGATTATTTCAGTTAATCGGACCACCACTAGTCTGCAGCAAATTTCATTTTGTATTCCTTGAACACTGGAACTGTCAGTGAAGAATGTGGAAGCTTATCGTACCTGCAGATGGAGTCTCTGATAAACTTGGACCACATGGTCCACAAACGCAACTATACAAAACTACGGACAAAGGATCACTCTCATCTAATCTGTATCAAATGGTACAACCTCAGCATGTTGCATGTGCATGGACATTATGAAGAATGAAAACCTGCCTGAAAATGCGCACATTGCACTCTGCATAGAAGCGACAAAATCCTTTCCACATTCATAAGAAATGGAGAATAAGAGCAGGGGTGGAAATAACCCATTGCCCGACGTCCCAGTCCAGTGTTTTTTTCTGTCGGGCAAGCAAATTTGCATATCATGCTGTACCGGTGTCCAGTTGACTTTCCAATGTTAATTATGTTGTTTATTCAAAAAATCAAGAAGAAAATCGGCCTTTATAGTGGAAAAAATATCAGGGCAAGTGAGTTTACATGTGCCACTGTACCGGAGTACACTAGCAATTTTAAAGTTATTTCCACCCCTGAAGAGTCGATTGTACAATTGTGACTATATTGTGAGTATATACCTGGTATCTGTTTCAGCAGTACTACAGCTGAATGATGTTTATTGTTATGAATAGCATTGAGTAGCATTTAGAAATGATGTAACTGATGACAAGATAGATCGGTTTCCGTATTATTACGTGATGTTTGTAGCAATGTATCCATGTTGATAGATGCTGACAGTGTTACATGCAAGTGATGTGTAGAGTCAATGGCTGACTGAGATTGTGCAGGAAGCAATACTGATGTGATTACAATAAACAGTGAACATGATGACATGAGTTGATTAGTCCCAGACCTGCATTATATAGGGCTGCAACGAATACACTATGTGGCAAATATGATACGTATCATGAATAGTGGGTAATGAATACGAATAATTATTCATGAATACAATATTGTAGTTAAGTGATTGGTGTACAATATGGAATGCCCATGTTGACAGTTTTGATTTGTCACAGCAATAACCAGTGATCTCATGACACTCAAATTTGGTATGTTATAGTTATAGATGACAGTACCATGTGTGGCCATGGCAAACTAACATGACTTGCACTACTGCATATTCAATTCTTGCATATCTCACTTTCTAAAAGTACACAAGGGTTCAAGTAAAACATGCTCCCTTAAACAAATCGTAAATATTCGTTAATATTTGGTTCTGGTGACCACGAATAACAAATTGAATTCATGAAGGGCTACGGTTCAATTCATCGAATATGCGAGTGAATCGTTACAGCCTTAGTATTATACCAGTCAGCTGTAACATGGATACTCCACTCACACCAGTCCTTGTTTCACCCCCTCCGTGTGGAATTCTAGCCAGAGTAACAACAAGTACCATATTTCAGTGTATTGTGGTTGGGGGGGATTGAACCACCAAACCTCTGCTCTCTGGGCAGGCACTCTATCCACTAGACCGTGAAGGTGGTGGGCCAATGGTCGCAAGAGGATTTATGAAGTGACAGACCAACTATGGCACTGACATATTAAAATTATGTATTTTCGTGTCCTGAGATCTTGACATCCATCATTACTGTTACACTGTATATGTCATGTGTATGATTTGTCCCTTTCCCCCCAATACAGCTGTGTAGAAGGGTAGGCACGTGCATGTGCAGATATGTTGTTTTTCACACTGACAGAACTTTACCGCTAGCATGTGTTATGTGTGAACGTGTTACACCTGAAACAGCATGTCAGCTAATTTGTAATGGTAGCTGGTAGTCCTTCTAGAAAAGGTTTGTGTTAAAAAGATGTATTCTGTATTTCTGGTACTGATCAATATCAAGGAGTTGGGAGTTAATTTCTTTATATCCTCTGTGAATTGACTGAACAATTCATAATTATTTTATAACACCAATGATCAGGTACCTTGAAGGAGTTGGGAGAGAAAAGTGTAAATCACAAACATCTTAATTTGACTGTACTTTTAAAAAAAAATATATTGTGCATTTGAGGTGTTTTCCTTTTTCGGGATTTCAGACTAGTCAATCTGGAAAGGTGACTAGACAAAATATTCACACATGAAAACCTACTGGTTATACGACATAGTGCAACACAGTAGATTCTTCTTATAAGGAGTGTTAACGCAGATGCTAAAATATATTGATGTCCAAATATCTTTTAGTGGTATAATAATTAACTTCCTTCTCTATTTTATGTCAAATCAGTAGAGTTCTGATATTTGGTGTTTTCATGAGTAGATCATGGGAGCATAACATCTACAGATAATGGTTAATGATTGTACACAATACACAATACAATAGTCAATAACGGTGTCCTCCCAGTTGTGAGACACATTAATTAATGGTTCAGTGCACACAGGTGGTGCTTCCCCATCCCTACGATGAAAGTGGGAACAGCCCTGTTGCTGAAGAGTACTCCGCAGGAGGCATAGTTCATTAATGAGTTAGTTAACACAGAAGACATTGTTCGTTGAAGAGCATTTATTGTTTTCAATAGATACTGAAATACTGAAAAAGATGAAGGCCTGCCATAATGGTGATCAGAAAGAGCAGTCGAAGGTTAATAAATACATTTGGATTAATTATAGTTACAACAGTTATTGCTAGATTTTTCAAACACGTAAATCTGAGTAGGTAAATTAATTTCTCTTTCAAATGATCACGAAGTTACCTACACAAAGTGTTAATTTTTTAAAGCCATTTATCTGAGTAGGTTAATTACTTATCTTTTAGAGTTTCATTAAGTTACCTCCACAAGATTCAGTTAAATAGCTAATCCATAATTAGCTGGGGTTAATCCATTCTATCAGATAGGGGAGTAAGGTGTGTTTTCTTTGCTAATTACCTACTCCACTGTCTCATAACTGGGAGTCTCACAAATGGGAGTGGACCGTCAATAACAGATCATCAATTTTATCTGCATATAAAAAACAGTGCCAAGCATAATGAGAAATATAATGAAAATGGTGCATCACGCAATTGTAAATTTTCAGGGTTTAATTTCAAAGTACACATTTACTTTATTTCTTACGTTTGATCATGTTTATGATTTCCTTTTTGTTCCAAGACTTAGCATGAAAAGAAATGAGGTAGTTTTTCTCTGGACATTGTACACATGATAGCATGTTTCCTCCAAACTGAACCCCAGGGTGAGATGCAACTATTACAATGAATACTCATGTATTATTATACATAAGAAAATATTATATAAATGAAAACAGAATTGTAAGAAAGAATTATGGATAGTTTGAGACAGCGTGGATATTCAGCTGTGCTGAAAGAGACAGTGTCACAATTATCAGGTACATCATTTGTAATGATACAGTGAGTGCATGGAGTCCAGATAAATCTTGTGGATTTACAGCAGATCAGGTGAGCTACAGAGCCTAATGGATCTATTATCAACAAAATACTTTCATGTAAAATGTTATAAAACATTTCTTTAAAATGAATTCCAAATATTCTAAATGCAACATATATCAAAGTGCTTTAATGGAATACTTTGTGACACTACACACACTTAAGATCAGAAGTCAGAGGGATATACATTTGATATGCTTTAAAGGATTTTAAACGTGTTTAAATATGTGTAGTTAAAGCACCTCGACATTTTCAAGGGAGCTTGGTGGAGACTGTCAACACTGTATCAGTGAAATGAAAGGGGAATATATCCTGATTGAAATCTAGTCACTGAAAAAATCAAAGCACTCAAGATGCTAATGTTGTATTATTTTCACCTGAATGCTCCAGTAAACCTATGTTGACAGTAGTTTCACCGGACTGCTGAATATTTGAGGTTCCTTACATGCTTCATTTGGTCAACATCACCTTTGACATGAGGACATGGTTGATATAGAAGAAAATAGAACTTACTTATTTGTTGAGGAAGACACAACCCACCTATGCAGTGGGTCTGCAGCTATTCACCGACATGTCTGTATAGCTGTAGGTGAGGTTCATCAAGCTATGGTGCTTTTACCTTCTCACAAAATGAATTTCCATGTGGGGAACACCTTCCTTTATCCACTCAGTAAACTTCTTTTCTGCTGTGAATGTAAGAATGAAATCGTGTGGCTCGCACTCTGCTGTCATTCTGTCAACGTTGGCTGGACTTTTATGTGACTGAGAGCATTTTGTGAATACTTTTATTGCCCCAAATGCATTCTTAAGTAAAAGGCAATAGTTTGTAATGTGTGTCTGAATAATGAAAGCGGTGTTGGAAGGCTGTGGGTCTCCATGTTTTTGTGATGTCAGGGAATACTGGTGACTGTGTAAGCCTTAAGCTCCCCCAGAATGGGATTAACCAGTGCTGTTTACACAGGGAAATCTAGCACCTCTGTTTCAAACACTGGAAAGAATAACTCTTTATTCCTGGAGTTAGTGCACATCTGTTTGGAGCCAATTGTGGGATTTCCTTTGAGAGGCAGGACTAGATTTGTGGTCGGTGTGTCACTGGGGAAGATCATCACGTGAAATTCAGGGCAATGTGACATTATTTGAAGGTGTGAAGAATATAACACCGTCCTGGGATATTGAATATCCTCAAATATTTGGTGGGATGATATGACTGTTTTATCACCAGCTGAGAACAAAATCACCATGGGAATCATGTTCAGTAGTATTTTTGTATCAACAATCAGAGGACTGTTTTGAATATTAATGGATTATCATGAACATTTTGTTGACTTGAATCCTTAATAAGTACTTATCAATTGGAGCCTCCCCTGCAGGAATTTGACCGTGGCAGGACCGATGTGAGGAATGAATGCTGGCTTCTGCCTATCTGATAATGAGTTTATCTGTAGTGTTGCTGGGAAGAAGAGTGTGCTCCAGTATACTCCAGGATCTTCCCAACATTGAGTTGATCCTGTAGTTTGTATCATAAGGGTCGTGGGCATGCTTCACTTATCTAGGAGATTCTCTACAAGTCGTCATATCACCCAATATGTAATGTACGAGGCTGCATGACCGCTGATCATCAGGCTCGTCGTGTGGTGAAGGCCGATCCTGGCACAGATGATATTTTTATGTTTGCATTTAAAAAACAATACCTACCTCACAGGTTGGTTTGAAGGTATTTTTGTCAAGCATTTGAAAGAGGTGAGTGTCATTAGCATTGTGTTTGGACTGTGAATCATGCGTCATCGCTTGTAATGCTTCGTGCACCTTGTCTATTTCAATCCTTAAAAACAAATGAATGTGATTCAGCTTGTCCAACCAGTGGAGCAGGGCAAGACAGAGCCCCATCATCTTGTCACAACATCTTCAAAGCTGGGAAACTCACGTCTCTGAGCAATTGGCCACAGTGACCAAGCAAATACATTTCTTGTGGTGTTGAAATGACCTCGTATTACTCAACCAGTCAGTATAGGACCAGACTGGATTAACACGTTATTCCTTGAGAAAGAAGTATGGACGAAGATGGTCACTTTCTCTGTGGGACGTTTTTTGTGCTGTTTGACTTGAACTAAGGTTGGATTTCGCAATGCTTGTGTTGGGTTTGGAAAAGACAGCTCATCAGTTTACAAATTGAACTTGACTTAAATTGAAATGTTTTTGTTGGGTGGAATTAAATCCTGTCTTTGAGGAAAGATATTTAATTCTGGGTAAGAATTCTGTAAAAGTTTGAAAACTACCTTCGCTGGAGTTGCTTGTGTGTTTCCCTGATGACAGCAAGCTTTAAGGAAAACATGGTTGAGATTGAGATAAGATGGTTGGAATAGTTGCGTGAAGGTGATCCCTCTTGGGCAGTCAATGAATTCCAAGTGGAACTCCGTGTTCTGACAATTTCAGTGATAAAAACTCCAGTCTGGACTCACCGAGAGAGACCTGTTGATTTGAGCGTTGAAGAACACACACAACACATTGTGTTTAACTGTCTAACATCAACACTCAACTGTAGCCATTGGTTTTTATTGTGAGTTTTGTTCGTTCTCATTTGGAGATAGCTGGCAAACTGTTTGGAAGCAGGTGAACGGACAGAGACAAAGAGTAGCAGCTTCAGTCTTGGATAACAACTGATTCTTCAGAGCAAGATGTGAAACATCTTGTTGATGTTTAAATGGCGTGTATCCGTGTTAAAGTGCAGTCGCTGATATCTAAACTCCAGTCCAAGTATGGGATACAGACGAAACAACTTGTTACACCATTGAAGAAATTTAAAGAGGTAAACCATGCTTGTTTTAAATAAGGTGATACCAGACTGTGATGTCAGTATCTGTTTTGCTCATGTTGTAACTGAGAAATATATCCAACAAGAAAAGCCAGACAGACAACCTGATATCACATGTACCTCTTTCCTTTCACAGAAACAGAGGTGAACCTGTAAGATTATCATGGCTCTGTGTTGTCACATATCTGTATTGTATTGATAAATATTTCCATCCAGTATGTGGGCTTTTATTGGGTTGGTTTGGGTATTTTTAATGCTGCACTCAGCAATATTCCAGCTATATGGTAGCGGTCTGTAAATAATTGAGTCTGGACCAGACAATCCAGTGATCAACAACATGAGCATCTATCTACACAATTGGGATACGATGACATGTGTCAACCAAGTCAGCGAGCCTGACCACCCAATCCCGTTGGTCACCTCATACGACAAGCTTGGGTTCTGAAGATCAATTCTAACCTGGATCTTCACGGGTACTCTTTTATTAGGATGTTGGAAGATTAGTGTTTGTTGTTTACGGCTGCAGTCAGGGATATTCCATTTATATACTGACAGTCTATAAACAATCAAATCTTGACCGACAATCCAGTAATTGGCATCATGAGCACCATGACAAAACTGTGTACTCATGCTTGTGTCATGACCATTGAGTAATATACAGAAGGTATCATGGGTACCTTGACCTAAAGAATGAACACTGATTACATTGAGTAATATACAGAAGGTATCAAGGGTACCGTGACCTAAAGAAAGAACACTGATTACATTGAGTAATATACAGAAGGTATCATGGGTACACTGGAACAATGATTACATTGAGTAATATACAGAAGGTATCATGGGTACCGTGACCTAAAGAAAGAACACTGATTACATTGAGTAATATACAGAAGGTATCATGGGTACCGTGACCTAAAGAAAGAACACTGATTACATTGAGTAATATACAGAAGGTATCATGGGTACCGTGACCTAAAGAAAGAACACTGATTACATTGAGTAATATACAGAAGGTATCATGGGTACCGTGACCTAAAGAAAGAACACTGATTACATTGAGTAATATACAGAAGGTATCATGGGTACCGTGACCTAAAGAAAGAACACTGATTACATTGAGTAATATACAGAAGGTATCATGGGTACCGTGACCTAAAGAAAGAACACTGATTACATTGAGTAATATACAGAAGGTATCATGGGTACCGTGACCTAAAGAAAGAACACTGATTACATTGAGTAATATACAGAAGGTATCATGGGTACCGTGAGCTAAAGAAAGAACACTGATTACATTGAGTAATATACAGAAGGTATCATGGGTACCGTGACCTAAAGAAAGAACACTGATTACATTGAGTAATATACAAAAGGTATCATGGGTACCGTGAGCTAAAGAAAGAACACTGATTACATTGAGTAATATCAGGGAGACTATATAAGGGGGAGTGGTCACTCCTCGGAAAGCCCCTTAGCGTATGCCTCGGCTCGTCACGTGACCAGTGTAGCCAATATGGCGACAGCGTAGTTTTTAAGATTGAGCCTGGTTTATTTTCAACAGCTGATTACATACGCTGAGTGTTGTGACAACTGAAAACCTACATGTAGAAGATAAGTTACCTATTCTGTCACTTCATTTTAAGTCAAATAATTGTTATTTGAGGTGTGTGAAAAATATGACATCTCGCCGATCTGCCATTGAAATACTACAGGGTCGTTGTTTGAGTGTTTCTAGTTATTGTTCTAAAACATCTTTCACATACACCTTTAATTTTTATGAGGGGAATATACCATCAGGTGAAAGGTGTTTGCAAGTAATAGTGATAGTTTTATAATTTAAATTTTTTGTTAGGGTGTATGAAAATATGACATATAGTTTTTCATCTGCTTTTAGCATTGAAATATCTACACCAGGGTGTTATTTGAGGTGTTTCTAGTTATTGTTCTAAAACATCTTTCACATACACCTTTAATTTTTTATGAGGGAATATACCATCAGGTGAAAGGTGTTTGCAAGTAAGAGTGATAGTGTTATAATTTAAAAAAATTTGTTAGGGTGTATTTGAGGTGTGTGAAAAATATGACATATCGCCGATCTGCCATTGAAATACTACAGGGCATTGTTTGAGTGTTTCTAGTTATTGTTCTAAGACATCTTTCACATACACCTTTAATTTTTATGAGGGGAATATACCATCAGGTGAAAGGTGTTTGCAAGTAATAGTGATAGTTTTATAATTTAAAAAAATTGTTAGGGTGTATTTGAGGTGTGTGAAAAATATGACATATCACCGATCTGTTCTGATACGCCATTGATGCTTGTGATGCTTGAGTGTTATAGTTCTAAAACTTCTTTCTTTCTTGTTGATCTTAGTATTTGACCAAACTGGAAAGGTGTTTACAACGCTTTGTGATAGTTCTAAACTTTCTATTTTTGAGGGGTCTGTGACAGTGTCAGTTAACATTCTGTCAATGCCCATGCCATTCCACACATGCAATAAGATATCTGAATTATACTACCCATCAAAAGTTTAGACTCACTAGTGTAAATGTAGCCACTTACTTGTCCACTGTTCTAAACTAGCTTTTTGCAAAATATTCCATACTGTTTAAAGGTACTGTTTAGTTATGAACTGGTGTATTGTAAAACATATTCGTAACATTGAAAAGATTATTGTCATGAGTTCAGTAAATGATTAAAATCTGTGAAAATTGGCGAATTCTTAACAAAACTTTACACCAAAACGCATCTGTTCACATGCACGACATTTGCTCATGCCTTTCGCAATTTGAAGCATCATCCTTGTGCAATTCATCTGCATAAGGTTTTCAGTTGGTTCCCCCAAGTTGGTGGAGAAATTCATCTTCGATGTAACCACATACATATACATAACATATAGTGAGTGCTTTAAGTGAGTCTAAACTTTTGATGGGTAGTATAGTTACTAATGTAAAAAAATGTCTCAAAGTAGATTTTAAAAAAAAAGGACATCTGATGTTAACACATGTGTTCTACCGATAGTTTTGCGTTCTTAACATGTTTGGGGAGGGATGGCCGTGGTGTATCATTTATGCTTTCATTCATTCACATATGTATTTCTTTCTTTTGTTCTTTTTCTTTATTTATTTCATTCATACACATATAATTCTTGCTCTTAATTCATTCATTCATTCATTCATTGTAAAATTCCGACTGATACAATAAAATGGCTGAAGTACTGTTAAACGCAGCCGAAGTTGCGCTGGGAACGAACCAAGTCACTGTGTGTGTTGGAGCATGACGAGGCACACGCTAATTAGTACAAATGGTAAAGAAAGCAAGCGAGTGACCTATCCCTGTTGTAGAGTATCCCTGGTAATATACAGTAGTTGATGTAGTTTAGTAACCCCTCCATCCAGAAACTGGGCAGAGCAGAGATAGAAGTGAAAACATGGTTGACATTGAGATAAGATAGTTGGAAGAGTTGTGTGAAGGTGATTGGCCTTCACTGCAGGGGTGGTCCAATCATGAGTATTCTGAAACTACTGGAATTTGAAGACATGACTCTTTCATTGACAACAGCTCTGTATCAATGCATGGTTAATCTGCATGGTCGGCCCATTGCTGTACATACATCACTATGTGGTGAAGCCCATTTTGGTGTCCCCACCTTTATGTTGCTGGACTGTTGATAAAAGTGGCATAAAACTATATTCACTCACTCACTGTTGGTCCATTGCTGTACAAATATCACTGCTGCCCAGTGCTATATGTTATCACAGCAGTGTTGGCCCAGTGTTATGTTATCACTGCAGTGTTGGCCCAGTGTTATATGTTATCACAGCAGTGTTGGCCCAGTGTTATGTTATCATTGCAGTGTTTGGCCAGTGCTATGTGTTATCACAGCAGTGTTGGCCCAGTGTTATGTTATCATTGTGGTGTTGGCCCAGTGTTATATGTTATCACAGCAATGTTGGCCCAGTGTTATGTTATCACAGCAGTGTTGGCCCAGTGTTATGTTATCATTGCAGTGTTGGCCCAGTGCTATGTGTTATCACAGCAGTGTTGGCCCAGTGTTATGTTATCACTGCAGTGTTGGCCCAGTGTTATGTGTTATCACAGCAATGTTGGCCCAGTGTTATGTATCATCACAGCATCACAGCAGTGTTGGCCCAGTATTATGTTATCACTGCAGTGTTGGCCCAGTGCTATGTGTTATCACAGCAGTGTTGGCCCAGTGTTGTTATCACTGCAGTGTTGGCCTAGTGCTATATGTTATCACCCAGTGTTATGTTATCACTGCAGTGTTGGCCCAGTGTGTATCACAGCAATGTTATCACTGCAGTGTTGTGTTATGTTATCACTGCCCAGTGTTATGATGTTATCACAGCAGTGTTGGCCCAGTGTTATGTTATCACAGCAGCCCAGTGTTGGCCCAGTGTTATATGTTATCACAGTGTTGGCAGTGTTGTTATCACAGCAGTGTTGGCCAGTGTTATGTTATCACAGCAGTGTTGGCCCAGTGTTATGTTATCACAGTGTTATCACAGCAGTGTTGGCCCAGTGTTGGCAATGTTGGCCCAGTGTTATGTTATCACAGCAGTGTTGGCCCAGTGTTATGTTGGCCCAGTTATGTTATCACAGCAGTTATGTTATCCCAGTGTTATGTTAACAGCAGTGTTGGCCCAGTGTTATGTTATCAGTGTTATGTTATCACAGCAGTGTTGGCCCAGTGTTATATGTTATCACAGCAGTGTTGGCCCAGTGTTATGTTATCACTGCAGTGTTGGCCCAGTGTTAGTATTATGTTATCACTGCAGTTATCACAGCAGTGTTGGCCCAGTGTTATGTTATCACAGCAGTGTTGGCCCAGTGTTATGTTATCACAGCAGTGTTGGCCCAGTGTTATGTTATCACAGCAGTGTTGGCCCAGTGTTATATGTTATCACAGCAGTGTTGGCCCAGTGTTATATGTTATCACAGCAGTGTTGGCCCAGTGTTATGTGTTATCACA